TAGTTATGGGTCTGTTCAGACTTTCTATCTCTTCCCATGTGAATTTTGGTAGTGTGTGTGTGTTTAGGAACTTGTCCATTTTTTCTATGTTGCACAGTTTGTTGACATATAATTTTTCATAGTATTCCCTGATGATTGCTTGTATTCCTGAGGGGTTGGTTGTAATAAGTCCATTTTCATTCATGATTTTGTCTACTTGAGTGCTTTCTCTTTTCTTTTTGAGAAGCCTGGCTAGAGGTTTTTCAATTTTGTTTTTGTTTTTGTTTTCAAAAAACCGACTCTTGGTTTCATTGGCCTGCTCAACTGTTTTTTTGGATTCAATATTGTTTATTTCTGCCCTGATTTTTATTATTTCCCTTCTTCTGGGCTTGGGGTACTCTTGTTGCTCTCTTTCTAGTTCCTTTAGGTGCACTGTTAGATTTTGTACTTGCACTTTTTCTAATTTCTTGAAATAGGCCTGGAGTGCAATGTACTTTCCTCTTAGGACTGCCTTTGCCAAATCCCAAAGAGTTTGGGTTGTCGTATTTTTATTTTCATTGGTTTCCATATATTTTTAAATTTCTTCTCTAATTGCCTGATTGGCCCATTCGTTCTTTAGTAAGGTGTTCTTTAACCTCCATGTTTTTGGAGGTTTTGCATACTTTTTCCTGTGGTTGATTTCAAATTTCATAGCATTGTGATCTGAAAGTGTGCATGGTATGTTCTCAATTCTTTAATATTTATTGAGGGCTGCTTTTTGACCCAGTATGTGATCTATCTTGGAGAATGTGCCATGTGCACTTGAGAAGAAAGTGAATTCCATGACCTGTGCTGTCAGCATGATCTGTGCTGACAGCCAGCTCAGAGCCTGGAGCCTGCTTCAGATTCTGTGTCTCCCTCTCTGTCTGCCCCTTCCCTGCTCACTCTGTCTCTCTCTCTCTCAGAAATAAATAAAACATTTTTTTTAATCCATTGTTTCTTTAGTGATTTTCTGTCTAGCTTATTTATCCATTACTGTACGTAGAGTATTAAAGTCCCCTGCTGTTAGCACATTCTTATCCATAAGCTTGTTTCTGTTTGTGATTAATTGTTTTCTGTATTTGAGTGCTCCTGTATTCGGTGCATAGACATTTATAATTGTTAGCTCTTCCTGATGGATACACCCTGTAATTATTAACGAATTCCCTTTTCATCCATTATTATTGTCTTTACTTTAAAATCCACTTTGTCTGATATAAGTATAGGTACTCCAGCTTTCTTTTTACTTCCAGTAGCATGATAGATATTTCTCCATTCCCTTACTTTCAATCTGAGGGTGTCCTTGGTCTAAAATCAGTCTCTTGTAGACAGTACATAGATGGATTTTGTTTTTTTATCCATTCTCCTACCCTATGTCTTTTGATCGGGGCATTTAGTTCATTTACATTCAGTGTTTTTATTGAAAAATATGGGTTTAGAGTCATTGTGTTCTTTGTAGGATTCATGCTTGTGGTGGTGTCTCTGGAACTTTGTGTCCCTTGCAACATTTCCCTCATAGAGTCCCCCTTAGGATTTCTTGTAGGGCTGGTTTAGTGGTGACAAATTCTTTCCATTTTTGTTTATTTCAGAAAACTTTGATCTCTCCTTCTATGCTGAATAACCGTCTTGCTGGACAGAGAATTCTTGGCTGCATATTTTTTCTGTTCATCACATTGAAGATTTCCTGCCATACCTTTCTGGGCTGCCAAGTTTCAGTAGATAGGTCTATAACTACTCTGATAGGTTTCCCTTTGTATGTTAGGGCCCTTTTCTCCATAGCTGCTTTCGGAATTCTCTCTCTGTCCTTATATTTTGCCAGTTTCACTGTGATATGTCATGCAGAAGATCAATTCAAGTTACATCTGAGGGGAGTTCTCTGTGCCTCTTGGATTTCAGTGTCTGTTTCCTTCCCCAGATTGGGGAAGTTCTCAGCTGTAATTTGTTCAAGTACACCTTCAGTGCCTTTCCCTCTCTCTTCATATTCTAGAATTCCTATGATATAGATAGTGTTCCATTTGATTGTATCACTCAGCGCTCGAACTCTCCTTTCGTGTTCCTGGAACAGTTTATCTCTTTTTTCCGGCTTCCTCTTTTTCTATAACTGTGTCTTCTAATTTACCTCTTCTCCTCTCTGCCTCTTCAATCTTTGCATTGGATGCCTCCATTTTATTATGCATCTCATTTATAGCATTTTTTAAATTCATCACAACTATTTTTAAGATCCATAGTCTTTGTAGCAATAGCTTCTCTGATGTCTTCCATGCCTTTTTCAAGCCCAGTGATTAATTTTATGGCTATTTTTCTAAATTCTTATTCAGTTATGTTGTTTATATCTGTTTTGAGCAGTTCTTTAGCTGTCATTTCTTCCTGAAATTTCTTGAGAGGTGAATTCTTCCATTTCATCATTTTGGCTAGCTTTCTGTCTCTTGTTAGTTTTAAAAGCTTGTTATGAGCTCTGCACCTGTGAGTACTGCTGTATTAAAGAAGGCTCATTGACTGTCCAGGGCCTGTCCATTAAGGAAGTATTCTTTTAATGGTGTCTCTTGTTTTTGGTTACTTTATTTCCCTACTTGTAGTGGTATCTGGGACTCTCCACCATGTGTACTTTGGCTTGTTTCTTGAGGTAGCTCTGGATAGGAAAACAGACAGACAAACACACAGGGATCAAAGGCGCGCAAACACACAGACAAATCCAAGAAACAAGCAAACTGAAAGGGAAAAAGAAGAAAGAAAAGAAAAAGAAAGAAAAGAAAAAAGCAAAAAAAGCCAAAAGACAAAGTATAGTCTAAAAGCATAAAACCAGAATTCTCAGCTACAAATAAAGAGCAGGGTGTATGCAGTGCTGATGGAAGAGCAGATACAAAGAGAGATGACAGGGGCGGCGGGGAGAAAGTGAAATTGGACAGTGATCAGGCAGAGAGACTAAGAGGCTTAATTCAGATAGAGAAAGGCAGAATATAGTAGGGGGCGAGGAGTATGAAACAAAGATAATGTTACTCAGAGAAACTAGATAGTCTAATTACTACAGAGAGAGAGAGAGAGAGAAAGGTAGCAGTGGAAGTATAGAATATACATCTAGAGAATGAATTAAATGTGACTGTTTAAGCAAACCTGTGACCAGAGTACCCAGTCCAGCAGAGAGGAGGGATACAAATGAGACAAGGGAAAATATATCAGAATAGAAAGAGTTGATCTAGAAATAATCACGGCAGTGCATCCATGTTGGTCTTGCCCTGGGGTTCTGGTAAAAAAAAAAAAGCTCTCTAGCACGGATGTGCATGGTTTGGTGTAGGCAGGTCTTAGCCTCCACTTCGACCCAGGGGCCGCTCCCTGAGGTCCCAGTTTGGTAGCTGTGGGGAGAAAAATGGCAGTACCCCAGTCCTCTCTCGAACCAAGCATTACAAATCACTCTTTTGGGTCCCATCTCCCTGTGCTGTGGGTGTAGCCAAGGTGGGCCATGTTCTATGTCCCAAACCTTGCCTCGTTTCCAGGTCTTAGTCTGTGCACTTTATTGATACTGCCGAAAATATAATCCTGCGGGCTGGGTCCTTCCCAGCCAGCGATCCAGCTGGGAGAGCAGCGGAGCAGTTTCTCCTGGCGCCACCTGGGACCAGGGCACCCAGCCCAAAGTCAGCACCACAGCTATAAACAGGATCACTCTGCCCTGAGCCGAGGTTTTTCTCTTCTCTAGGGACAGTTCTATGAGCAATTTCAGCTGCTCTTTTTTTTCCCCTTGACTCTCTGTGGCTCCCTGCGAAGAGGGTTCCCTCCCCTCCCTCTTTGTCTCCGGGTCCCGGCCCGTTTTTATCTTCCCCAGTTCACACTCACACACTTATGAGGTTGTCTTCTCAGTGGACTCGGTCTCTTTTCCTCCCAAACTCCTATGGTTCAGTGGCCTATGGCTTCAGGCCTTCTCCATTTGAGAGATTGGGGTGAGTGAAATGTATGGAGCTCCCTACTTCTCCACCATCTTGCCTCTCCCTCTATTGTTACTTCTTAGGTTTCAACTTTTTTCTTTATGGTCATCCAAGAATAAGATTCCACAAGATTTTTATAAAAGTTGGTCTATAAGCAAGGCCAGTACTCATCATTTCAGGCTTAGCAGTTGGTAAAGTGTGAAATGCTATCCCACACCTTGGTAAGTGCTGCCCTCCCATACCTCCTCACGCCCATCACCACCCTGGTGCCCCTGGCCCCTCCATTAAGACCACCCTTAACTTCCCATCATACAGAATGCAGGGGGCCTCCAGGACTGTATTCCAGTCAGATACTGCTTCTGATGTTCCTGTGCTATGCCACCTGGTAAATATTTTGAATATCACCCCTGCTAGTAACTATTTTAGGTATTTGCATAACAGATGCTTCTCTATGTTTAACTTGCTTTGTCAAAGAAGGCATTCATAAATAACCATCTACTTTATGAACTAGTTTTAATTCAGTCAGAAGAGGCTAGGTTATGCTGCATAATAACCCCAATTGCATTGGCTTACGGCTAGAAAGGTTTATTTCTTCATATACTCCATGTCCACTGAAAGGCAGCTGCAGCTCTGTTCCATGTCATCTCCATCTGAAGCCCCAAGCTGACAGAAGCAGCCTCCATCTGGGACATGCACAGTTTCAATGCAAAAGGAAAAGAGATATAGAGAACCACAAGCTAGATTTTAAAGCTTCTGCTTGGAAGAAGCACACATCACTTCTGCTCACAATTTATCAACCAGAGCAAGACATATGGTAGCTGGCCAATCCTGACATAGAAGAGCAAGGAAGTATACTCCTTCCTCTGGGAACTGGCAGAGGATACTTTCGAACAATAATGGCATCTACCCCAGGGCAACAATAAAATGAGCATGTACAACCTCAACCCTTCCAGTGTAGAGCTGAGTGCATGTTTATACATTTAAGGACCTAAATGGTAACATTCTTGGTTAGTGTAAGAAGAACCAATGACACATTTTGTAATCATGTCTGAATCTTGGGCTTTTCTTTTTATTTGTGCTTAACAGCTAAAGCCACTGGGCTGCAACATTATTAATGTTTCCAGTGATGAACATGGTATTATTCCAGACTCTCTGAAAGAAATACTTTCTAAATGGAAACCAGAAGACTCAAAAAATCCCAAGAAAAACACCCCCAAATTTCTTTACACTGTCCCAAATGGCAACAACCCTACTGGAAACTCGTTAGCAACTGACCGCAAGAAGGAAATCTATGAGGTATTTTAAAAGAATGTGTTCTGTGGCTATGTTCTCGTTTATTTTTGACTTTTAAGAAGAGTACTGTGCAAGCTCCCTTTATTAGCCTCTTGCTTACAAGGAAGATAGCTTTTAATAAAAGGAAATCCTCTATGCCAAGTGCTCTGATAAATTTTAACACAAGAAATTACTCCATCCTTTGTTAACTATGAGTTTTTTTTCCTTTACTAGATTATTTTCATAAAAAAGAAATAGTATTTTTGACATGATGTTACGTTTTAGGAGGTTATTTAATAGTTGTTTTATATTTATATTTTCCCCGTTTTATTTTCATTTGTTTATATTTATTTTTCAACTTGTCTCTTCTCTTTCCTACTCCTTATCATTTCAGCTTACAAAGAAATTCTTTAAAAATAAAAGGAATGTTCCTTTTGTAAAGTCCCTTTTCTGACAATGATGCCTAAGCTTTTCACTGATTTTTTAAAAAATTATCAAACACAGGGGCACCTAGATGGCTCAGTAGGTTAATCGTCCAACTTCAGCTCAGGTCATGATTTCGCAGTTCATGAGTTGGAGCCCCGTGTTGGGCTCTGTCCTGACAGATCAGAGCTTGGAGCCTGCTTCAGATTCTGTGTCTCCTTCTCTCCCTGCCCCTTCCCTGCTTGCTCACACTCTTTCTCTCTCTTAATATGTATATATACATATCTCAAAAATAAATATTAAAAAAAATTTAAATATCAGACACATACCCACCTATACAAAAATCTTTGAAAAATAAGAGAAAAGTGCCTTTTGTAAAGTCTCTTTTAGGTACCTGACTGTCCTCCTTAGATCTTAGCTACAAATACCTTTTAAAAATAAGTACCAAATAAGGGGATCCAGGGTGGCTCAGTCAGTTAAGCATCCAGCTTCCGCCCAGGTCATGATCTCACAGTTCATGGGTTTGAGCCCCATGTCGGGCTTTGTGTTAACAGCTCAGAGCCTACAGCCTGCTTTGCATTCTGTGTCTCCCTCTCTCTCTGCGCCTCCTCAGCTCATGGTCTGCCACTCTCTGTCTCTCAAAAATAAAAATAAACATTAAAAAGATAAGTACCAAAGCCATATTAAACAATATAGACTGTACAGTGGAATCATAAAGATTTCAGTTTCTTTGACTCATTTTTACATTTTTTCAAAGTATTGTCTTATTTTTCACACATTTCACAGTTCTGTCGTGAGTTCTCTTCTTATTTACATACTACTTCCAGATAGTCTCATCCAGTTTATGACTGTAAATTCCATTCTTCATAATAGAAATGCCTTTCCCCTGAACTCCAGACTTCTCTATTTCCAACTTCTCCATCCAACTTATGTTTCCGACATCCAACATAAGTGTCTAATAGGTATTTCCAACCTACCATGACCTAACAGAACTCTTGGTTTAGTCCAGCCACACCCCAGCCTCCAAGTCACACCCCTCACATTCTCCACCTCCATAAATAGAGCCGCCATAAACAACCACCTTTTATACTTCTCTTTCCCTTCTCTCCTCTCCCAACCCCCTACATCCAGTTCATCCTGTGGACTCCACCACCAAATGGATCCAAATCCACCTATTTCTCTCTCTCTCCTTACTACTACCATCTTCCCAGTCACCACCTTCCTTCACTGGTGTGCTAGGATGGTTTCCTCACTGGACCCCTGCTGCATTCCACTTCCAATCCTCAACCAATTTTTCTTCACGCAGCAACCAGTCATGTCATTCCCCCTGCTGAAATATAAACGCAAAGCCAATCTCCATGTCTTCCTGTTTACAGTCCTCGTGTGACTTCCCCTTGCAATTAAAGTAAAATCCAAATTCCTTCATGTCTTGTAAAGCTATGTGACCTAGTAGTCTCTTCTCAAGCCTTATCGTTTCTTATCATCCTTCTTGCTTCAGCCCCCTGGCCTCCTTCCCACCCCTTAAACATGTCAAGTGTAGGGTTTTTTTCTCACCCAAGGGTCTTTGCTCTCACGCAGCCCTCAGCCTAGAATCTTCTTCCTTGATATTTGCACAACTGGCTTCATCCTGTGATTCTGAGCTCTCATGTAACATTGTCAGGACAGGCTTCCAATAATTCAATCTGAAATAGCTACCCTATCACCTCCCCTCCCCCCCGACTCAAATATCACCTTGTTTAATGTTCTGAGTAGCCCCTAAAACCTCTCATCTATTATTTCTTCTTTTCATTATGTACATCGTCTTTCCCAGAACTTGGAATGTAAGTTCCATGTGAACAAGAGGCCTCAGTGCCTTACTCACCTCTTTATCCTCATTGTCCAGGACAGAAGTACTCAGTAGCTTCTTGGATGGATGAATGGGTGGATGGATGGATGAATACAAAGAATTATGATTCCAAGTGATTTTCAGCTTAGACAGTTCTTAAGGATTAAATATACCACTTTAACCCTTAAGGATTAAATATACCACTTTAACCCTTTTTAGCTTGCAAGAAAATATGATTTCCTCATAATAGAAGATGATCCTTACTATTTTCTCCAGTTCAGCAAGGTAAGTGGTGATGTGAACTTATTTCACAATTAGAAGGTAAGTAGTTACACTGATGTGATTTTTAAGTAGTTACACTGATGTGATTTTTAATGGCTGAATCAGCGCTAATCTACCTTTACATTGAAATTAAATACAGTTATTAATAATTTGCTACCACTTCTATCTTGAATCTTTCAGTTTTATCACAGAATTAGTACCTCTCGTGTCTGACATTACTACTCCAGAAATGACTTACCTTTAAAATAGTAGCTAGCTCTCTAAACCATGCATTTGGGCAAGTAGTAAGTCGGAGCTGATGGTTTTCTTGAACTCCAAATCCTAGTTCATAGCTTTTTAAACATCATACAAGGGATATGAAGTAGGTTTCATTTGAGGTGTCAAGTACAGTTTCTCAGCAGTGGCTGACTAGAATGTCTGAGAAGGATTGGGAAGCTCCACTCAAGCTGAAAGAAAAAGAGGGTCGTACTTAATCAGTGATGTCTATTATGGACATAGGAGAAGGCATTACTGGCAGCATGCCACATATTTGCCATCCCTGTCATTGAAAGCCTGGACCCTACCTGCAGAATAATGGATTTTTAGATTCTTTTTCACTACATATGCTTGCCACTTTTCATGATCACGGTCTCTTAATAGATGGCAGCGGTGGTACAGACTCCCAATGCCTGATTCTTCAAAATCAAACACTATATTTGCTCTCAGGGCTGCAGAAAACATACTTAGATTCAATGCTCCCTTTGAATATGCTGGATAAAAACCAAAACTCTTGATTTTTCTATATAGTTTACTGCATATCACATCTACCTACCTATTCCCTGCCCTCAACATGACCAGGCCCCTTTTCTTGTATGCCACATTGAAGTCAATGTGGCAGATTAACTACATTTCTCATCTTGTTTTATCTTTCTAGCTGTTCTAAGGATCATTCTCTCTCTAAATAACCCTGAATGCTGCTGGCCCTCTTCATTTTCATCTAATCCAGACAAATTTTTCTTGAATCCTTCCTCTAAATCTGCTGATTCTGCATGTCAACCTTTGAGGCTAGGAGGGCCTATTTGAGATCTCCCTAAGTTCATAATAATATCTTAATCAAATGAGTAAATGAACCCTTCTGCGTGCTTTTGGCAGAATAGCCATGAAGAAAGGCAGGCAGTAATAAAAGAACATGTTTCTTATTCCATTTTAAAGGGTTGAAATTAAGATAACAGAAAAGATGGCTGTGCTCCTCCTATCCAAACCTATGCTCTCTCCTTTCTGTACACAAAATAATTATACAGTCACTAACAAGAATCCTTAAACCAACAATATATATTTTTTCCATTTCAAGTCCTGGGCGCCAACATTTCTTTCCATGGATGTTGATGGGCGTGTCATCAGAGCTGACTCTTTTTCAAAAGTCCTCTCCTCTGGGTAAGGCCTTGTGTCTCCACTTATGGCCAGATCTAAAAATGATAGACTGTACCTGAGTGTCTTTTAGTCAAATAATTTTCATTTAAGATGCTTGTATTCCCCTTACCTTAAAAAATCAGTTTGATTATTAATATTAGTATATGCCATTTTTTGTTTTATTCATCTCCAGTAATCAAAGGTATGTGGGCATTAATCTAAAGTTATAGTGGGACTGGTCAGGTTTTGGGTTTCATATATGAAAAAACACATTTCAAAATACTTGGTCAGACTTACATTGTATCTTAAATGTAGTCTTAAAGTTGTATTTTAAATAGTAAGTAGTTTTGTTAAAACATTTTCATAGATTAGGCCCGATTGTCTCTAGGTCACAAGTGTCTTCCTAATGAAAGCAGCAAAGTGATAGGTAATATTTGTTAATACATGGTTGGTATTGTGCCTTTTCTCTTTTTGTGCAGGTTGAGACTAGGGTTTATAACTGGTCCAAAACCCTTGATAGAGAGAGTTGTTTTTCACACACAGGTTTCAACTATGCACCCCAGCACTTTTACACAGGTAAGGACAATTTCAGAAATAGGGGTTGTTGTTGTTGTTTTAAACAATCAGAATAGAAAATAGATATTAGCAGGTAAGACTGGGTTGAGGTGGCAGGGAGGAAAGTCACTGATACTGAATCTCTAGTTCCAGTATGGATGGAATTAGAAGATCACATACCATAGATGTTTACTCTAAAAGGCAAATGAGGGGCGCCTGGGTGGCTCAGTCAGGTAAGCATCCAACTCTTGCTCTTGGCTCAGGTCATGATCTAACGGTTTGTTGGTTCAAGCCCCACGTCGGCTCTGCGCTGATAGGGTAGAGGCTGCCTGGAATTCTCTTGGCCCCTACCCCACTCATGCACGTCTCTCTCTCTCTAGCTCTCTCTCTTCCAAAATAAATAAATAAACGTAAAAAAAATGTTTTTAGTAAATAAAAGGCAAATAAGAATTGAATTAACCTGGTGTTTGCAGTGTAGACCAAGCTCCTTGCGAGTTGGGTGTCTTATTCATTTTCATGAATGATTTCATCCTTCATCTAGAAGGATAGATGCTAGGGACACAACTCCATAAAAAACTTTGTTGAACTTGAAGAAAATGAAGTGGCCTCACTGAAGTAACATAACTTTAGCTTCATCGTCTTCAAATCCATTTTGAGCATAAGGATTCCAAACCTGTTTAGGGATTCCTCGTTTGCCTTCGTCCCACAGGTGTTAACCTCCCCTGATGACACTGGTTGTAATGCATTTTAGTTTAATAATAAGTAATAAAGTAAAATTAATTTTGGAGAATGTATAAATTTCCTCACAAGCTTTGAGAAATTGTGGGATCAATCCCTAATCCAATCTTAAGAATCAGATCCTAATGTTAGGTGGAATTGCTACCTAAGAACTCAAAATGAATAGAACAGTATACTAAGCCCAAGACACCTGTTTGGTATCGTACATTCCATAAAGAACATATGTCCCCATTTTGATCAAGTTGGGGTTTTTTCGCCATATTTTTTGTATCTGTTATCAACAAAACTTTACTATCCACCTATAACATTAAAACTTCCATCTTATATAGACAAGTCACTGAGAACCTTATGTAACTATATATCTAGTATATATGTTTTATATTTAGAGAAGCAGTAGTGTGGTCATTAATGGCATGTATCTGGAGCTAGACCGCCTAACTTGAATCCAGGCTATGTCTGTGACCAGCTGTGTGACCTCAGGAAAGTTCACTCAACTGTTGTGCCTTGGTTTCCTCACCCGTAAAATAGAAATAAGAGCCTTATAAGGGTATTATGGAGATTAGGTTATCTACAATATATAAATATAATAGTTTCTGGCGTATAGCAATGTAAACATTTGTTATTTTACTGTCATTGTTATTAATTAACATTTATTTTAAATCACCGTGTAAAGCTTGGTTCAGCTTGTTTTATTTTCTTGTAGCTTACAGGTAATCAAGAGTGATTTGCTTTAATGTCACATTAAACAAGCACTTTAATGTCACAGTAAACAAATGTCACATGTTTAGTGAACCATGACATTTGTTATTGTCTTCTCTCTTTTAGCTACTAGTATCACAGCTTCTACACCAATGGGGAGAAGAAGGGTTCCTGGCTCATGTAGGGAGGTATGGTAATTTGGGTTCCATATTTTATATAGAAATGGGATTCTCCTATTCATTTTCATTTTTGAATTATTCCAAAATAAAGGGGAAAAAATGCAATTGTACAAAGTTTACCAGCAGACAGGTCCAGCAAACGTGCTGTGTTCCCATTTCAAGTATTCAACATTTTAATCAAGGTGGAAAACAGAGTCTTACAGACTGGACTCCAGAGCCTCTGGGTTCCTTCAATCCATGTATTTAACACATGCTTCTCATTGTTTTTTCTTCCAGGGTTATTGATTTCTATAGGAAGCAGAAGGATGCAGTACTGGCAGCTGCAGACAAATGGTTAAGTGGTAAGTGAAAATATATCCTGTCCCGTGATAGACACTAGCACTTTCGTGAGTGGGGGACAAACACCTCATAGTGACTGATAAGAATCCTGGGAGAAAAGAAACAAGAGTCCGGGAGTATTCATGTCAAGAACTGGTGCCCTGTAAGGAGTCTGGGAAGTAACAATCTGCAAACCCTGGCACTGTTCTACCTACTTCTACTTTACCTGTCTGCTGCGAAGAACTTGTGGTTTAAAGGAAGAAGAAAAAAAAAAGACCTTTTAGTCTAAAAATCCATCAGCAATAACTTAAAGTTAAATGATGCCGATACTCAAAAGGTTTTAGAGTTACTTCAAAATTTTCCCCAAACAGCCAAGGAATTGTCGAACAACAGTATACTCCTTTTCTAATTAGACTATATAAAGACAAAACAGTGCAGTCTAAAGCAGTTCTCTCATTACAGATTATTTGCATTCTAATTGTTAACCTCATTTATCTGTCTGATGTTATCTATTGCTAATGTGATTGCAGGATGGTTTAGGTTTAATTTTCTACTAATGAATTACATGGTTTTAATGATATCATTAGGAAAGCCTTTAGTATGAATAACAGTAAACAAAACAACCAATTCCCTTATTTCTGTTATCTCTCGTTCCTTACAAATTCTCAGCAAATACAGAATTCTCTTTTTGATAAAAGTGCTATCTTACCACTTTGTATAGTGGAGTTAAATAAGAGGTTCAATTCAAAAGCAAGTTTTTAAAAAAGATAATTAAAATAATTATCCTTCCTTCTCGGTTTCTCTATCCTAATACTCAATGAAACATAAAGCCTACAAATGCATGTGGTCTTGAATTTCAAGAACTTCTTTTCATAATTAATTACATTCTGATGAAAACTCTAATCCATTGGACTTCAAAACTATTATATAAATGACTGGATTCATTGAAGCACTGGGAGAATGTAGAAGTAGTCGAAGAATCTCCTTAAGTTGAAGGAGCCACATTTGGCTTCTCTATGGTTCTAACTAAGAGAAGCAGACATAGGCACTAGACTCTTCACACTACCCTAGGACTGACTAAAATTAGAAATATATACATGAGTCTCCCTCTCGCCTTTCACCACCTCTCTTATTTTTGAAACAAACTAAGAATATCAACTGTCAAGTCTCATAAAATTCTGTTTTAAAAATGCTATCCCTGAAGGAATTTTTTTGGCAGTTCTAGTTGACAGTTACTGCGATTACATCATTAAGTGATTGATTTGACATCCTCAAAAATGGCTTTAGCAGTATTTATTCTCTTCTTTGGTTTGTAGGTTTGGCAGAATGGCATGTTCCTACTGCTGGAATGTTTTTATGGGTTAAAATTAAAGGCATTTCTGATGTAAAACAACTGATTCAGGAAAAAGCCATGAAGAAAGAGGTAAAAGGGGGGAAGAGTTATACTTTTTCTTTAACATGACTTCTTACTTAATATAAAAGTTGCCCTCCACGCCAGCCCATAATATTTTAATATCAGACATTATCTCCCATCTCTATATCTCATATCTCTAATAATCTCATTATTAAAATCATAATAGATTTTTGAGTCACATAATTATTCTTCTGGTCTACATTAATAATAATAGTCACTTGTTTTCCATAAACTCTCTTAGGTATTAATACTTCCTGGAAATGTTTTCTACACTAATACCTCAGCACCTAGCCCTTACTTTAGAGTGTCCTTCTCTTCAGCTTCTCCAGAACAAATGGATTTGGTGAGTACAATACTTTCAGAGTAACACTAGATATCAATTCTATTTTTTGGTGTTTGTGTTCATTATGTGAGTTATAACATTTAATGCTTTCTTGGGTTTCTGAAAAACACGTATCAGTTAAAAAGTCATGAATTACTATTAAAAGACACACTTTAACGGTTGTAAATAGACAAATGCATGAGACCAAATTGGAGTTCAATTTTGTTGTCTTCAGGAATAGTTTTCAGACTTGATGAGCAGTGTGAGCAGATTACTAACATGTTCTGAAGAAAATTTCTTTCCTTTCTTCATGGAATTAACATGAGCCAACAGTACAAAGCCATCAGTTTCTTTCCCTGAATAAAAATGTATCAGCAAGGGTCAAATACAATGATATTCTTAAATTAATCATAAGCCTGGGTTTAGCAAAAATAACAAGAAGCAAAGAAATGAGTTCCCAAGGACTGTGTGTCTGGGAGTCCAAATAGAAGAGCCATAAATTGAACAGTGCCCTTAACCTTGAGAAGAGTCTATACTTGCCCTTGCACATGGATTGGTTCTTGGTGTGTTCTTTGTTTACTTGCTTTCTCATATCACTAAATATACTTTTCAGAAGTTATGTCTGCTTTAACATATGAATAGAGTTAGACAGTTGGAACAATACAGAATGTATGTGCAGGTGAGAGATTAAATGAAAAAATAATTTGTGTTGTGGAGAAAATGGAAAATAATGATGTTGAGGGATATAAGAATAAACAGATACCCTGGGAATCTGACAGGCTTATATCTACATGTATTAGTAGACATCCCACCCCAATAAAGTTGATGTTAAATTTGACTTTTCATTGCCTCATCTCAACCTAAGATAAATGCTCTGTTTCAACTTTTTAAATTATAACAGACTTTTCCTAAGTAGCATTGTAATTTCATTAATTTTATTTCTTAGTTTATTGTCAAGTTGGTTTCCATATAACACCCAGTGCTCATCCCCACAAGTGCCCTCCTCCATGCCCATCACCCCCCTTCCCCTCTCCCCCTCCCCCACCAATCCTCAGTTTGTTCTCAGCATTCAAGAGTCTCTCATGGTTTGCCTCCCTCCCTCTCCCCAACTATTGTTCCCCTTCTTCTCCCTCATGGTCCTCCATTAACTTCCTCCTAATCCACCTATATGTGCAAACATACGGTATCTGTCCTCTGCATGACTTATTTCGCTCAGCATAACACCCTCTAATGTACCGCAATGTTCATAGCAGCACTCTCAACAATAGCCAAAACATGGAAAGAATCTAAGTGTCCATCAACTGATGAATGGATCAAGAAGATATGGTTTATCTATACAATGGAGTACTACATGGCAATGAGAAAGAATGAAATCTGTCCATGTGTAGCAACATGGATGGAACTAGAGGGTGTAATTTCATTAATTCTTATCTCTTTTCTATTTTAGGCCTTCCAGAGATTAGCCCAAATTATTAAAGAATCTTTATGAAGAAATCATTATAGTACTCATGGATTTTTCAGATAAATTACTTTTATGTTTTAGCAGGAAGAAATGATCATTGGCATTAGATGTACAGATTGGATTTCACCAAGCATGTCATATCTGTAGTAGTTTACCTAGACACCTTTTAAAGTGCCCTTAAATTCATCAGATTGCTAAAATATATTTGTAATCTACTTAGACCTTTTGATAAATTTTCAACATACAAAATTATTTTCATCCTGGACTTTATTGTAAGGAACTCTAGCTGCTGTACGATCTCCCATAAATTTTCCTTGAAACTAACATTTTACAATAAATTATTTTTGAAAATGTAATAAATTCAAAATGGCATGCAGTGTGAATTTTTTCTATTTTTAGGAAAATGTAATGAAAGCTTGTTGCAAAAATGTAGTTAGAATTTGTCCATTATAGATGATTTTCAGTAAGAGTACCACAGACATTATGTTGTGCCACAGATATCCCTTTAAAATAAAATTCTGAAACCAAGTACACATAAAGACATCAGACCTATTAGTTCTAAATAAGGAAGAGAGATCAGGGACTTAGAAAAATATGCTACAGTATAGTTTCATAATACTGCACAATTTACAAAAACAGTGTTATCAGTTATGTAATTTAAATCTACTACACCCCTTTGAGGTACTTAGGATATACTTTTTAATGATTTTCTTTCTCTCCTTTTCAGATCTGTATTTTCCCCCACATAATTATTAAAGTAACATATGCTCATTAAAACTTTTTCAAACAATATAGTAAATATAAGTGATAAAAGTCACTTGCTGTCTCACCCCCCAGTGAAAACTGCTGTCAACATTTATCATTCATCCTCTAAGATGTTTTTCTATGCATGGGCATGTTATATGTCACAGAATAGGACCTCCTGGGGTGCCTGGGTGGCTTAGTCAGTTAAGCATCCGACTTTCGCTTAGGTCATGATCTCGCGGTTCGTGGGTTCCGGCCCCGCGTCGGGCTCTGTGCTGACTGCCAGCTCAGAGCCTGGAGCCTGTTTCAGTCTGTGACTCCCTCTCTCTCTGACCCTCCCCTGTTCACGCTGTCTCTCTCTCTCTCCTAGAAATAAATAAAACATTAAAAAAAAAAAAAGAATAGGACCTCCTTATGACAGTGCATCATAAATACCCTGTATTTGCTTTCTATTGCTCTGTAACAAATTAGCACAATGTTCCAAGATCTAGTCATTGTTAAGTTATAAGTTCCTTCCAGGAATTAAGAAACCATTGTCAGTTATGACATCCTTTGTGGATATAGGCATACCTTGAAGACACTGTGGGTTTGACTCCAGAGCACCACAAGAAAAGCAAATATTGTGATAAAGTGAGTCAAATGAATTGTTTGGTTTCCCAGTGCATATAAATGTTTATAGTATACTGTGGTCTATTAAGTGTGCAACAGCATTATGTCTAAAAAGTAAAGTACATGCCTTAATTTAAATATACTTTATGGGGCACCTGGGGGGCTAAGTCAGTTGAGCATCTGACTCTTGATTTTAGCTCAGGTCATGATCACGGGGTCATGGGATGGAGCCACACATTGGGCTCCACACTCAGCACGGAGCCTGCTGGGGATTCTGTCTCTCTCCCACCGCCCCTCTGACCCTCTCCACTGTTCCTGCTCTCTCTCGTTCTCTCTCTCTCTCTCTCAAATATAAATAATTAAAATTAAAAATACCTTATTGCTAAAAAAAAATGCTAACCACCATCTGAGCTTTCAGCAAGTGATAACCACTAATAACAGATGTTAACAAATATAATAATGAAAAATTTAAAATATTGCAAGAAATACCAAAATGTGACACAGAGACAATAAGCGAGCAAATGCTATTGGAAATATGGTGCCAGTGGACTTGCTTGATGCAGGGTTGCCACAGCCTTCAATCTGTTAAAAAAAAAAAATGCATTATCTGTAAAGCACAATAAAGCAAAGCATAGTAAAATGAGGTATGTATAAATATATCCATCATAGTTATTATTTTTTTGACATCTGGATCAGATGTTATATCTTCCAACAACTAAAGTTCTTGAGCAAAAATCTCACCTCGAAGCTTACATTAGCTGGCTCCAAGCCCGTATGTATGTATGTATTTATTTTAGTGTGTGTTTATTTTCAGAGATACAGAGAGTGCAGAGCACAAGCAGGGGGAGGAGGAGAGAGACAGGGATAGAGAATCTCAAGAAGGGGATATCCCAAATAATAGGGCAGAGCCCAACGCAGGGCTCCATCCCATAAACCATGAGATCATGACCTGGCCCTAAATCTAGAGTTAAACACTTAACCAACTGAGCCACCCAGGCACCCCTAAGCCTGTCTCTATTTTTAAGACAACCAGTGGTAGTTATTTAAGAGAACCTGGAAAGACACAGGGCCTGCAAGAGGCCTGAGATGAACCTAACAATTCCACTATCATGAGAAGAAAAAGGAAAGTATAAATTCTATTTATAAAAGTAAAATAAGTCTTCTTCAGGAGTTTCAAAAATAATGAAAATTTCTCAGTCAGCACGATATAAATGCCTTGCATTTGTTTCTAAGTCACCAACACAGAGTAGATGATTTATATATTGATTTATAACAATACATGATAAAACCTTTTGCTTAAATTAGCTAGAGTAGTTTCTGTTATCGGCAACTGAATGCCAACCAGGTCTCCAGGACCACCCTCAGCCTTGATGGTTCCCTAAAAGGACTCAGAAGACCCAGAAGCTGTAGCGGTCACAGTTGACATTTATTGCAGCAAAAAGGATAGAGTAAAATCTCAAAGGGAAGAGGCACGTGGGACAAACGCAGTCTGGAGGAGACCAGGCACAAGCCTCCAAGAGTCCCCTCCTAGTGGAGTCACACAGGATATGCTGAGTCCCTTCAGCAATGATGTTGTGACGGCAAGGGCAAAGTGTTGTCAACAGGGGAAGCTCACCTGAGCTCGTTGTCCAGGGCATTTATCAGGGGTCAACCACAAATGCACACGGTGCCTGGACCTGTATACATACAATGATGGGCCTCAGTTACTGGAGCCCATCCAGTCACAGGGGGATAACAGGTGTTCACTGTAAAGCACATTGTTAGTGAAAATGATTTAGAAAAGCAGTTACAGCATGGTTCAAGACCCCAGACACGCGAAACACTCATTAATGAGAATATTCCAAGAGCTCGGTTCCCATGAGCCAGCCAAGGGCCAGTCACAAACCAGCCCTGTCTCAGGGAAAGTGTCTCATTGGAGTGACCCAGACCTGCTGAGTTAACCCTTTACTACCCACCAGGAACTCCACTTATGGACATTCATAGTAAAGAATTACCCAAAATATGGAAGAAAGTAAAAAACATTAAGACAGTCATTGTAATTTAAAACAGCAAAAAATTGGGGGTAGGGGATGAGGTTTTGTGACTGAAGTTATTGCAGTAAGAAAATGGGTTACGTCAATTACGGTTATCCACTTAACTAAGTTTTAGGCAACCACTAAAACACCGCTATGAAGCAGTATCATTCATTTTATGAAGCACTGTTAAAATGATTATGTATAATATGGATGAAAAACGAGGGTATGAAAGCATACATATACTCTAATTACAACTATAAAAACTAAGAAGACATCTACCAAAAAAGCAACAATTGGGTTTTTTTTCTTTTTTTCAAAATATTCTGTAATATGACTCTTTACTTTTATAATTTAAAAAAATAAGTTAATTTTTCAGGGCACCTGGGTGACTCAGTTGGTTAAGTGTCTGACTTCAGCTCAGGTCATGATCTCACAGTTGGTGGGTTCAAGCCCCATGTCAGACTCTGTGCTGACAGCTCAGACTGGAGCTTACTTCAGATTCTATGTCTCTCTCTCTGTCCCTCCCCCTGCTTCTCTCTCTCTCTCTCTAAAATAAACAAACAAAAAGAAATTTAACAAATAAATATAAAAATAAGTTAATTTTTAATACCTCTAGTAAATTAGTCACAGTTTTTTTTTTTTTCAGTTGGATAAACAAAGGTTCCTGGAGGCAGTGATGAAAAAACAGATCTAAGGACAGCAAGGGGGCAACTACCATGTACTGAAAAATCAAATTGAAAGTCATATCCATACAACCACAGTCGGTTTGGATCTGATCAAAATTACATAGGTTTAATTTCCTAGTATTAATCTATGACGTTTCTGTGTGGAAACCATGGTGTCATCACACATGGTCCACACTGAATGGAAGCAGCTGGAACATTTGGTCTTTGTGGTAATAAATATGGACACTTCAAACTAGGCTAAAAGGGAAGTTGTCACTTGGCATGGTTTCCTTTTGATTTGTCTGAATGCTTGTCAACTTTGGCAATTTCCTCCCCTCCATATAAGAATATCTTTCATGCTTTTCATATAATACTTGTACAGCCTGGTATAGCTTCAAATTCATTTTCAAATGCTAATTAAATCTCATGGGTAGAAATTATTAACTTATCAAAAGTAGGTTTAATTAAAATTTTTGGAGAATCTAGAAGTCTTAATAAAAATCAAACATAAATGAATTTTAACTGGTGATGTGTGTTTATTAAGGTTTTAAGTTACCTTAAGTAAAAAACCATAATGCCTTTCTCCAGAACCCAGTGGTAACTACAAGAATGTCATTTTAGGGCAAAAGACATGAATAGACACTTCCAAAAAAGACATCCAGATGGCTAATAGACACGAAAAATGCTCAACATCACTCATCATCAGGGAAATACAAATCAAAACCACAATGAGATACCACCTCATACCAGTCAGAATGGCTAACATTAGCAACTTAGGCAATGACATATGTTGGTGAGGATGCAGAGAAAGAGGATCTCTTTTGTGCTGTTGGTGAGAATGCAAACTGGTGCAGCCACTCTGGAAAACAGTATGGAGGTTCCTCAAAAAGTTAAAAATAGAACTACTCTATGACCCAGCAATTGTACTACTAGGTATATATCCAAAGGATAGATGTATGCCGTTTCAAAAGGGCACATGGACCCCAATGTTTATAGCAGTACTATGGACAATAGCCAACATATGGGAAGAGCCCAAATGTCCATCGACAGATGAATGGATAAAGAAGATGCAGTATATGTATATATACAACGAAGTATTACTCAGCAACCAAAAAGAATGAAATCTTGCGTTTTGCAACAACATGGATGGAACTAGAGGCTATTATGCCAAGTAAAATAAGTCAGAGAAAGACAAATATCATGACTTCACTCGTTCACATACAAACAGATGAACATAAGGGCAGGAAAGCAAAAAGAATATAAAATCAGGGAGGGAAACAAAACAT